GGACGGGGCACCGGTTGTAACCGGAGTTGAAGGTGTGTGTGTGTGTGTGTGTGTGTGTGTGTGTGTGCGGCCCGCCCGCCCGCCCGCCCGCCTACCCGCCCGCCACCCGCCCGCCACCCGCCCGCCTACCCGCCCACCCACCCATCCACCCACCTGCCCGCCTACCCGCCCACCCACCCGCCCGGCGGTCTAAGTCAGTTATGGCCCCAGGAACAGCAGGGCGCCCAAGGTGCTCAGGAAATGACACGAAGCTTCCGTACACATACCTTACCCTAGCCGCCCTTTTTCCTGCTTGATGGGGCCCACGCCTAATGCCCCCGTGCCCGTTCTTCCGTAGAGACATACATACGTACAACCCCCCGAATACGCACCCGACGGCTCCGTTTTACACATCGATACACATCACACGCACACGATCTGTACTTTCCATGCGGCTCGGATCAGATCAGCCCCGTCGTAATAACCCGCTTATCCTCTTTCCCCCACATATACACACATACATACACACATACATACACACACAGCACATACATACATACACGCTCACGTAAGCCCACCTTATCTGGGTACATGAAGGCGTACGTCCACACGGCGATACCGCTGACGGGCAGCAAAACCCGCAGGAAGTTCCCCACGGCCCTCCGGGTGGGGGAGTCCCGGTGCTGAGCACCCCCCACACCCCCGGCAGCGGGGGGCACGTAGGCGCCAGCAACCTCCCCTCCGCCGCCCCCCAGGACGCCCCGGGGAATGCCAGCCACGCCGCCGTAGCCACGACGACCTGGGATGCGGTGTCAGAGGACCGGCAGCGAACCGGACCGCACCGTTGGGTGGGGGTGGACGGTGGGAGTGGGAGAAGATTGGGGGGATGAGGGGGGATGGAGTGGATACGGGGGTTAGGGGAGAAAGGGTAGATGATGTTAGGCAGGGTAATGGAAGGGGCCTCTGTGGGGGTCAGAGGGCTTTAGGCGCTTGTGTGCTCAATCCAAGTGCATGGTAAGAAAAGCGATGGATTGTGTGTGTGTGTGTGCATCTGCATGTGTGTATATTAATGATCTGAGCCGCGATGCGTGTGTGTGTGTGTATGTGAGAGAGAGAGGGGGGGGGGAGGTCTTACGTACAGAGTTTGCTTTTGTGACCGGTGGAGATGCGTGCTAGGGAAGGAATGGGGGTGGCTACGTACTGTGGGGCTGGAGGCGAGGCGCTGCAGAGGATGGAGGGGGGAAGAGGCTGGAGTCCGCAGGGAGGGTGTATGGTGGCTAGTAGCGCGAGCCATCGGCTAAGTGTGGCCGTGGCCCGGAGTTGGCAGCAACTTCAAGAGGCTGGGGGAGATGTCTGCGAGAGCCACCATATGCAGTATAGCACACGCGACGCAGATGCATACGTATGCGGCGGCGACACGACGCATTTCGTTTAGAGCTCATCCTAGAAGCATTAGGAAAATGGTCAAAAGAAGAATGGATCCTCCTAATAACGTTCTTGGACCTAGCTGCCCACAACTCCGAGCGAGCGACAAACAGACGCCCATTGCTGCAAGTTGATGCTCACCGAAAAAAATTCCAGAGGCTCCAGGAGTCATGCATGTTTCCAAGGCACCCTTTGTCTCGGACATACGCCAAACAAGCCTGCCTAGCTTGTGTCCATCCCATGCAAAACGTAACATTTTCGCCTTCTTAAGCAAGCGCTAAAGAGGATGTCACTTGAATATGTATCTTGCGATAGTGGACATCCAAATCATCTAGCAACTGCCATAACCGTGCGCGAAGCACTTCGTGATGATGGAAGGTTCGCGCTAGTGGACAAGATAGTCACGCTACGGTTAAATAGGATAGATATGCTCGGGGGCAGCACGATGTCTCCCTTCCGATACACAACCATCATGCCAATTGGCAGACGACCCGACGAAGTGGATCCTGCGGTTCAACTTCCTGTACGACCTGACCGTTCCGAACGTCTGGAGCAGCTATTCGCCAGGCGCAAACTAATGCCTTTGGACAATTTCCATGGTAACAAAGCATCATGAGGAAGCTGGCCATCGCGGCGTGAGAAACAAATTAAACAATACCGTGACAGCCTGCTCGGCTCCGCAATTAAGCGGTTTGTAATGAGTGAATACCTGATAGAGATGACATGAAACAAGTCACTTTGTGGTGGCACTGGACACATGGATTTTAGCGACGCCTACAGATACTCTGGGCCAGTCCCGGCTTTCTCACCCGATGGACGCTTCGTGGCGAGCGTCGCGGAGTATCGCCTCATCATCCGTGAGGTTGAAACCATGCGTGTGGTCCAGCTTTACTCATGCCTGGACCGAGTTGACAGGTAAGGCAAGCTCCATGATGCAGCCATGCCCTGCACCGTCCCTGTATAGCACGCATGCTATATTTTGGCAGCTGCATATCCTGATGCTTGTGGGGTCCAAAGACGGTAGCAGGAAACCTAATTGGAAACCGGCTTTGAACGGTGCCGCTTATCAGCGGCATAGCTATTGACCCTATCCAGCATAGATACGCTGTGCAAGTTCCGTTACCGCCGGCCCGCAACATGGAAATCGTGGGAAGGGTTTATGAAGGCCAACAGGATGAGGAGTACGGGGTCAGGAGGGGAGGAGCCGTGGGCCAGCGGGCGGGTGGTCTATTTGGATTTTCCACTGTTGTCATTATGACGCACATAGATTCCTTGATGGCCCTCATTTCGCTATACTCTCTATATAGATATAGACAGACAGGTGTAGATAGATAGATAGATAGATAGATATGTAAGCGTAGATAGATAAATATATAGATGTAGATAGATATAGTTCGATATAGCCCATCTTGCCACGTCATAACGCATATTGTATACGACAGCCCCCATCTTCACCCCCGGTCATCCCCGTCCTTTCCCCCATCCCCTAGCTGAGCCTCAACCGGCAACTCCAGCAGTTCCTGCTTTGGATGTCTTACAAAACGTCTTGCCCCTCTTCCGCCTTCTGCAAAGAGCCTTTTCCCCCCTTCTGTCCCTCACCCGTACCAGTTCCCGCCTGCCCCAACCCCCCCCCTCCCTCATCCCAACCCCGTTCCCCAGCATCGAGTGGTCTGCCAACTCCATCTACGTGCTCTGCGGCATCTTCTCCCGGGGGACCATCCAGGTGACTGACGGTGTGGGGCGCGTGCGCGGGGGGTGCAGCAGGCGGGGGCCCCTCCCTCGCACACGCCACACGGAGGACCCCCCTCTACAGCACTTCCACGCACAGCACCATACGGACCCATTCTGCACCTTGCCGCGTCGCTCTCGTCCGAATCCTCCACGCCGCTGAATCCACTGCGCGTCCGGACCACCGCGGACTTCATCCAGCTTCATCCTCACCGTAGGGCCCACCTCTCCCCCCTCACACCTCCCCTCACCTCCCCACCTCCCTCGTCCTCCATTCTTTCTCCCTCCCTCCCCCCCTCACCCCCCACCCCCTCCCCTCGCACTTCAGGTATGGTCCGTGGAGAGCTCCGAGTGGAGCTGTAAGATCGACGAGGGCCCCGCGGGCGTGGCGGCGGTGCGATGGAGCCCTGACGGCTGCAGCGTGCTGGTGGTGGCGGAGTTCGCACTGAGGGTGACCGTGTGGTCGCTGACGGACCGCAAGTGCCGCTACCTACGGGGGCCGAAGCACGTGGACCGGGGGGTGGCCTTCAGCGCGGATGGGGCGCACATGGCGGTGCTGGAGGTGAGCTGTGACGGGTCCGGGTCCGGGTGGTGGTGGTGGTGGTGGGGAGGAGCCCGCCCGCGTTTGCTTCTGCCGTGCTGCCGGATGCTAAGGCTGCGTGGTGGGAGCTTCCCTTCCGTCCGCCCCCTCCCGCTCCGCCCTTTCCCGCGGGTCGCACATCGTGGCCATTCACGACCTACCTGGACTCGATCCCCCGTGGCCATTATTCACGTCCGTCGGCTTATACATACATACATACATACATATGAGCACACAGAGACACAAACACACACATACGCTCGGTACTTTTGTGGCGCTTGGCGGCTCGTTTTGCCCCTGCAGCGAAGCGACATGAAGGACTGGGCAAGCGTGTACGACACTCGCACCTGGTCTGAGGCTGCGCACTTCCAGTTGTCGACGTCGGACGCTGCGGACCTGGCCTGGTCCCCGGAGGGCTGCGTTCTGGCGGTCTGGGATAGCTGCCTCAAATACAAGGTAAGAGCCAGCAGCAGCAGCTGGGCAGGCACTCCGGGGGAGCCCGCAGCAGCAGCAGCAGCAGCAGCAGCAGCCGGGGTTCTCCTCAATCCCCACAACGGTTTAACCGCATCACCACTCACCACTCATCACTCACCACCACAAGAACTTTTAACAACACTGCAGCAACTGCCAACCCCCCAGCGGTGCGGTGCGGTGCGGTGCGGGGTATCGCCGGCTTGCTGTTAAGCCAGCCTCGTTGCCGAGGGAAGGGGGGGAGAAAGCATGTTGTCGGACGCGAGGGACGACGTGGCTTGTTGCCCTGTGCTTTGCAGCAAAACGTGTTGCACAGACAGACAGATAGACAGACAGACACAGGGCCGCGCACACAACCCGGGATGGAGGGCGATTGGCCGTTATTAGGGATTTAGATTGTGTACAGTGTAGCACTTCCCAAACACCTGACCCCCTCGTAACTCATCTCTATCTCTCTCTCACCACCCCACACACACCCTCCCCACACGCCCCATACCTCCCCGCAGGTGGTGTTGGTGAACCCGCGGAACGGCTCTCCGCTGGCGACCTACAGCGCGTACGACCACGAGGCGCTGGGGGTCAAGGTGGGACTAAGGGGGGGGACTGGGGGGGTTTAAGGGAACTAGGGACTTCACTGCACTTCACTTCACTTCACTGCAGTTTGGGTTGGTTTGGGAAATTGTTGGGGTGTATGGGATGACTGTGGTTGGGATGGGGGTTAGGTTGGGTGTCGCACAGGATGATGATGATGTTGGACGTGGAGGGGTTGGCGACGACGACACATGGCCACACGGGGGCCATCCCATACAGGGAGTCCGACGAAAACTCAAACGCGCCTGGTGTGTCTGTGCTGCTGATGATTCCTGCCGCTCTCGGGGCCGCTGTCCTCCTCCACGGCGTCCCCAGCTGTGTTCCTGGAGCCCCGCGGGTGAGCTGCTGGCGGTGGGCTCCTTCGACCGGTGCGCCCGCCTGCTGGACCACGTGACCTGGCAGCCGCTGCTGACTGCGGAGCACCCGCAGGCAGTGACGGCACCCGCGGGGGTGCTGGTGTTCCGGGAGGTGAGGGGCAGGGAGTTGGGGTGGGGGGCGGGGGTTGGGGTTAGACGTTGGAGGGTATTGGGTGCTGGGTACTGGGGAGGGCCGCGGAGGGGTGTGTGTGTGTGTGTGTACAAGATTGGGGAACTTGGGGTTTTTGAAAACACATCCCTCCGAGGGAACCACGACGAGGAGGACCTCCTCACAGGGTCATGAAAGTGCTCTCACATCAATCCAACCGTGTTTCCCCCCCCTCATCATGCTCATGCCATACACCTGTCCATACACCTGCGCATTCACAAACAACTTTCCAGCACACATACACTAAAAAACACCTACCCAACCAGCTAACCAACCGCCGCTACCGGGCTTAGTTCTCGTTCGCTTCTGACCTCCCCCCTTCCCGAATACATCTACGAGACCGACATCAAGGCCCAAACCCAGCTCCCCCCCCCCACAAACACACCCCTACCCGACCGCCCCCCCCGCTCACGATGTCCGTGGCTCAGGAACCTGACGAACCGGCGGTCCCCGCTTCCCGCCTCCACGACCCGGCCGCCCGCTCAAGCTACGTGCTGGCAGACCTGCCCGCATCCGTGCCCTTCGCAAAGCCAGCTCTGGACGCCCCATCACCCAAGCTGGGAGTAGGTACGTGATGCGGCCCCCACCTGGGTCTACCTCCCGACATACCTCCCGACATACCTCCCGACACACCTCCCCGGCCCGTTTCCTGCTCACCCTGCTCCTGTGTTATCGCCGCCGTCAGCATCGTCGCCTTCTCCTTCCTCATCCACGTTCCCTCACCACCCATTGCAGCATCGCTAAGAGGCCGCATCGCCACTGACTGACGTTAACCCCCACCCAGCTCACCCAGCTCACCCAGCTCACCCAGCTCACCCAGCTCAGTCCAACCCAACCTCTTCCCCCAGGTCGTTGCGCCTGGAGTGGTGATGGTCGCTACCTGGCCACGTTGGAGGACAGCAGCGGTAATGCCGTGTGGCTGTGGGACCTCACCGCCATGGAGCTGGTGGCGGTGCTGCTGCACCTGGCGCCAGTGACGGACCTGGCGTGGGGGCCACGGGTGCGGGGTGTGTGTGGGGGGTCAGGGGTGGGGGGGGCGGTCTGGGCTCAGATGAAGGGTGGGACGGGCCCCGTAACGCAACCCAAATTTCTCTCTCTCTATCCCCTCCCTCTCCCTCTCTCTCTCAGGACATACACACACATACACGCTCACGTGTGTCCACCCCCCCCCCGCCCCCCCCCCCGCCCGGCCCTACCGCAGGGCAGCACTCTGGCCCTGGTGACCGGCACCAACAAGGTCTTCCTGTGGACCCCCGGGGGGGCCACCATAGCCATGCTGCCGCTGCCCACCCTGCAGGTAGGGTACGGCACCGAACTGGCTGGGGCCGGGGTGGGGCCGTCGGGTTGCGCAAGGCGTGTACGGCATGGGGTCCTGGGTCCCGGGGTACCGGACGACCCAGAGCTCCAGGCTTTCTGCATCTTCCGTTCGTCCGAAACGGAAAGGAGGGTTAACGGGGGAGGGGAGGGGGGGAGGGGAG